CTCTCACTCTTTTTTTTTCTTCAGTGTTTTAACCTCCCCTTCCCCTTTATATTTACATATATACATATATACCTATTTAGAAAATTCCAAATACTCAAATACATACTTCCAAAAGAAAAGAAAAACTAAGTGACTTAAATTCTTAAAGTGAATTTTTCATGCCTCCAGAAAAAAGGAAGTTAGATACACCGAATCACCAGAATTCACCTTATGAAGATAAAAAATTGAAACCTCGCACAGAACTTCCCTCCTCTATTGAAAGGAAGAATGATGAAAAACGAACTGAAGGGTTGGAAGTAAGCAGTGCCATAGATAAAAACAAACAACAAACTTCATTCATTCATTCGGATGATTTATATCTAGATACTATCAATCGATCTGTTTTGGATTTTGATTTTGAAAAAGTATGCAGTATTAGTTTAAGTAATTTAAATGTATACGCTTGCTTGATTTGTGGAAAATACTTCCAAGGTAAGTTACCCTTTGATATTTAAATGTCCTTTTTCTTACTTTTATTATTATTATTATTATTATTATTTTCATATTCGCTTGAATAGATAGAATACAAAAAGTAAATAATACTAATGTTCATACAAAAAAATCAAATGAATTGGCCATTTTTTTATTCTATGGCTTGATGTGTAAATGATAATTTTTTAGGGCGTGGGAAATCATCTCATGCATACACACATTCCCTTCATGAAGACCATCATGTTTTTATCAACATGCAAACATTAAAGTTTTATGTATTGCCCGATGGATACGAAGTGCTTCATCCTTCCTTAAATGATATTAAGGTACTATAAAGATAAAGCTTGCTTTTCTAGTTATACATTGTTCGTTATGTCTGTCTTCGTTAAAAGATGGCGAGGGAAAAGTTTTTTAAGAAAAAAAAAAAAAAAAAAAAAAAAAAAGGAAGCTTTCTCTTCTGAATTAGTGTCAAAACCAACAACAGACGTTTTAATATTAAAAGATCTAGATTTATTTATTTGCTTATTCTTTCTTATCTTCGTTTGATTTCTTTCTTTATTATTTTCTAGTATGTCATCAATCCAACATTCACACCTCACTTAGTACATCAACTGGATCATACCAAAAAACAATACTTGGACTTATCCTATAAGAAATACATTCCTGGGTTTGTGGGTTTAAACAACATTAAAGCCAATGATTACACAAATGTTGTGATTCAAGCGCTTGTTCATGTTCCACCGCTAAGAGATTTCTTTTTATTACGAACAGAGGATTTCTCGAATGAGTTAGTCAAACGGTTTGGATTATTAACAAGAAAAATGTGGAATCCTAGAGCATTTAAAGGACAAGTGAGTCCTCATGAGTTGCTTCAGGTGTGTTACTTTTTATTTTATTTCAATTTATTTTCCTGTGTGTTTCATCTGACCGAAATTAAAAAAAAAAAAAAAAAAAAAAAAACAATTACCATTTTTCCAAACTTTTTTTTTCTTCTCTTTTTAGGAAATAAATAATGGAAGTGGTCGTAAATTTAAATTAACAGATCAAGGAGATCCAATGGAAGTGTTAGCTTGGCTACTCCATTTTCTTCAAAGTTCAATTTTCACTTCAACGAAAATAGATCTAGTTCATTCCATTTTTCAAGGTACCATGATGGTAGAGACTCAAAAAATCTCATTATTAGAATCACGTAAAGAAAATCAAATGGAATTCGATCGATCTTTAGACTCTACAAAAGAAATCGTCCCATACATTGCATTGGCATTAGAATTACCTCCTCCTCCACTTTTCCAAGATGAATTCGAAAGAAATATCATTCCTCAAGTCAGTTTAACCACGTTGCTTGAAAAATACAATGGCACAGCAATTAGAGTACAGTTTCTAGATTCATTTTTTTTTCTTGCACTATTTTTTCTACTGTATTCATGTCACTTTATATTCTTTTTTTTTTTTTTTTTTTTTGGTCTTCATGAAGGGAATGTGTGTGTGTGTGTGTGTGTGTGCATGCGTGTGCGTATGTCCTTCATTTTCTATTTAGATACGATAGTTTACAAAAACTATTGAGTAATGAAACCAAACTCTTGTGATTGCTTTTTATTTTTTAAAGTTAACTTAAGAAGATATTGCTTTCCTTCGTCAACTTTACTTTGACTTTTGTATTCCTCCCTTCTTAAATTTAAAAATTCAACCAATGATTTGAATTCATAATGCTATGTTACTATTTGAATCCCATTTTCTAGCAATACGGGGATAAGTTAATGAAGTTTCGCCTTCAAACTTTACCGAAATACCTCATCTTTCATATCAAGAGGTTTATCAAAAACAATTGGAGCATTGAGAAAAACCCCACTATTGTGAATTTTTCAACGCATAATTTGGATATGTCTCCTTGTACGTATTTTATTTTTTTGTAGCCTTTTTTTTTTAATTTCCTTTACGTATTTCCTGCAAAACTCTAAATATCTTCCAATTTGAAGCCTCTTCATGTTCCTTTTCACTTTTTTTCTTCTTCAAACAACTTCTACTTTCTGTTTTATATTATTTTTATTTTCTTAACGCCTTTTTTTATTCAAAAAAAAACAAAAACAAAAAAACAATTCGTTTTCCCTTTTTTACCCCCACCTATTCGCAATCCAGTTGTTTCTGATGATTCTATTAAAGCAAAGTATAACATTTTGGCCAACATTGTTCATGAAGGAAAACCAGAAGATGGGCAAGGTGTGTATAAATGCCATGTGTATCATCAAGCTTTAGAACAATGGTTTTGTATTCAAGATTTACGCGTGGAAGAAATGATGCCCCAAATGGTATCCTTAGGTGAAAGTTATATTCAGGTACACAGTATTTTATGGATTCTTTTTTTCCTTCATTTTATTCATTCGATCGTATTCTCATCAAATGCCTTTATTTTAATTTTTTATTTATTTAGATATGGCAGCGTAGTGAAGTTTAAGATTTTCTGTTATGTACCTTAGTTAGAAAGGCGAGAAAGGATTATTTGATCTAAACTACATAAAAAATCATTTATATTCATCTCTATTTACCAATACATTATTTTATTTTATTTTATTTTATTTTTTGTTAAGAACTTTTTTCATTTTTGTTATTTTCCATAATCTCATTTCATCCTCTACATACTACCTTCACGACATCAGTTTTCCCACAGATGTCTTTTTGTATCTCTGTTTCTATTTCTTTTGCCATTTCCATCATTATATAATAGCAGTTTATGAATAGAATTTACATTTTTCATTTAAATATATTTACGGACTTTAAATAAATAAAAAAACGTTTGGAGTTAAAGTAGATTTTAAGAAAGTGTGGAATTTGGAGATGATTCTTCTCAGCAAGCTCTGTAAATGTTGTTTAAGCTAAGCAGATACAATAGAACATTTTAACACTCATGGATCCTCATAGAATGAGCTAAAATTATTAGTAGTAGTCTTATATATATGGAGAAGAAACAGAAAAAAAAGAGGAGTGGGTTGATTTTAAACTTCAGAGATTATGCTGCTGTTGTCGATGGATATGAATAATTATAATACTTCTTTATGATTGATTTTTTTTTTAAAGTATTATGGGGCAAATGAAATGATTCATTCTGCAAACTTATTCCTCGTATATGTGCTCTCTTTCCCTTTTTTTTTTTTTTTTCTTTTTTTTGTTCGTTTGTAAGAAGTAAAGAATTTTCTTTAAATGGGGAGTTGAGGCGTAGATTAGAATGAGAGTAAAAAAAAAAAAGTAACTCTATGATTTTACTTATCATTTTACAGTAACAATTAAAAAAAAAAAAAAAACTATAATCGCCACAAGATATAATTATTCAACTATTGTAAAAAAATTATATATTAATTCAACTTTTGTCAAAAAAAACTGTTTATATACAATTAAAAAAACAAAAAATACTAAAAATAAAAATCACGTGCATTTTAAATAAAAAATGAATTCCAACCAGCCGGATTTGAACCAGCGACCTAAGGATTACTACAGGTATTCTACTACAGTCCTCCGCTCTACCAACTGAGCTATGGTTGGGTCACACGCCATAGCATTATTTTATAAACTAATTACTTTTTTTCACAAAAAAAAACGAATTTATTTTACTATACTTTTTTGTTTAAAAAAAAAAAAAAAAAAAAAACTTGCTAAACTTGTGTACTTTGAGTTCAGCATTTAAATCATTTATCATAAATTAAACTAATTTCTTTTATCTGAATTCTTTTGAATTTTTCACTTTAACCTTACTTTTTCCTCGCTCCGTCCTTCCTTCTTCCCCCCTCACCCTCTCCTTCGCTTATTATGCAGTCTCATAATAAAAACTGTAAACTAAAGTTAGATTCCACTTTTCCTCAAGGTGCTGTGACTTTAGTAACCTGTTTTCCTCATGTCTTGATACAAATTCTAAGTTTACCTGAATCCGATCGGTTAAAATTAAGTGGGGCGTTACAAACACATCTGAATGAATGTAAGCATCAACGACTTTTAGATTCATCGAAGTCCTTTGATGCATCCTCCTCCACTTCCACTTCCTCCACCTCTTCTTCTTCTTCTTCTTCTTCTTCTTCGGCCACTACTTCTACTCTTCTTTCTCTACAAAGTCGTCCAAAAAAAAAATTACATACTCACTTTCCTACCAAGGATCCAAGAGATCCTAATGTATCTCATTTATCTCGTCGTCCTTTCATGGGTCAATTGGTTCCTACGGATTTGAAATATAAACCTGAAAGTGTAAAGAGCCATTCTGTAACAAACTCGTCACCAAATACTATGGAAAAGAAAAAAAAAGAAAAAGTGAAAAGTAAAGTGAAAGTGAAATCTTGAAACTTACCGAAACGACGAATAACATGGAGAAGGAAAAGGGTGTGAGGGGGGAAGAGAATACATTATAATAGCTCAGCTACTTACACTTAATTTCCGTTTCGTTTCTTTTTCTTTTTCTTTTCTTTTCTTTGCTTAGATTGAACTTCAAGAAAAATCCAAAACTTGGAAGGAAAACGGATTCATTCGAATGCATCGCTAAGTTTACTTTTATTTTAGAATAAAAGAAATTTAAATTTAACTTACCCTCAATTCCCTCAAATTAAATAATATTTTTGGCATTTGGAACAATCAAAGGCTTCCATCTTCCTTTCCCCCCACCCACCCTCTGCCTTCTCCGCCTATACCCCTCTAAGAAAAAAATAGGTTTCTACATAGTTTCTCTTCAGTATATATTATATACATTATTTGGGTAAAAGGGGAAGGTCTTCATATTCAAAGGAATTCAAAAAAAAAAAAAAAGAGAGAAAACGAAATATGAAAAAAAAAAAAAATAATGGTGTATGGGTCAAATCGAACTTAACTTTGATGACAAAGTGGAAGAAGGAAAAAAAAAAAGTGGAAAATTGAAGAACGTACAAAAAAAAATTGTACAGAGGTCTATCATCAAAATTTATTCAAATGGTATTTTTAAAGTATCAAAAAATAAAAATAATATTAATAATAATAAATAAAGAATAACTCCTTTTAAGAAGAAGGACTCAAGAGTTTTCTATCAAAATTTTTAAAAACCCTTTACTTTAAGACAACATCCACCGGAAAGTGAAATGAAATTTGATGGGATTAAAATGATAAATAAATAAAAATGAAGGTTAATGAAAACCACCTGCACAAAATAATAAATTGCATTTAATGATGAATCTCATCCCATTCCCAAGTACGACCTTTAGCAGCATCCAAAGCAGCTAAATCCGGGACTATGCCGGTAGTAAAGTACCCGGCTGCAATTTTAGCGTCGATTTCTACGCGTGAGTCGGGTGGAATCAACGAATCTGGAATAGGGCAGCGTTCGCGGATTTCAATCCCTGATTCAACAATGGCATCGTATTTCCTTTATTATTATGAAAAGAAGAAGAAAAAGAAGGAAGGGGGAAAGTGGAAGCCATTCAAAAAAAAAAATACGCATAAAGAAATAAACGATTTAGTGAACCGATGGATCAAAAGAAATTGTTTATAGCAAAGAATGTAATAAATGATGAAGGTTCCAATACAAAAAAGAAATAGAAAAAACGAAAAACACCTACATGTTTGACATGCTCATCATATGATCAATTTTTTGAATGCCTAGCCAGTGTAATATATCAGGCATCAATGCTTGGAACCTAGCATCTTTTACACCTGCCACACTTTCTGTTTTTTGAAAATATGCCGAGGCTAAATCCCCTGATCTTTTTCTTGAATTGTACACTAAGTATTTGGTGACTTCCCCTAAGGCTCGTCCTTCTTTACGAAAATAAACGATGAGGCCACTTCCACCCGATTGAGCTGTACTTACACTTTTTTCTATACCATACATTAAATATGGACGACACGTACAAATGTCACTACCAAAGACGTCGGAGCCGTTGCATTCATCCTGGTACAAGGGAGCCCCGTGATGGAGGATAGAATGAAGATATATTTAAAAGTAGAATGTAAGAAAAATGAGAGAAACATTAGATAGTGATTTAGGGTAGTGTAGTGAAGTGTATCCTTTTTTTTTTTCATACTTATAAACAAAAAATTCTCGTGAAAAAAACAAATAAAGGAAATAATAATAAGAAAAATAGTAAAGAGCTAATCAATATATATATTGATGGATGAGTTTACACTTAATCACAATATAACAAAAAAAGGATGCATACATGTACTCTCACCGTAAGTTCTTTTTCAGGATTAGAAATATTTTCTAGCTGACCAAAAATATAGACGGTGAGACCCCCGATAGGTGGCTAAAATTCAAATAATTGAACAATTTGAAAAGCATAGTGAAAAAAAAAAAAAAAAAAAAAAAAAAATGTTAAAATGAAAACTTAACTTAAAGTCAATTGCTAAAATGATGAAGAAGAGAAAAGTAGAAAAATATATATATAAAAAGTACCAAAAAGACTTTCAAATCAGGACGAGTGATTAACTCAGGGTACATTCCACCTGTATCTTCACTATCGTACGAACCCGAGGAGGAAAAGATGGAATTAAAAATGAAAATCAAAGTCAGAAAATTTATCAACCCTTAAAAAAATCAGGGTTCAACTAAGGTTTAAAAGTTCATTTTTATATTTATTTAAAACAAAAGACAAAAAAAAAAAAAAAAGAAGAAATCTAGAAACATAGGTTCAGACATACAAAATAGCTCTTCTTAAAACCGCTTCTTCAACCCCAAATCGCGCAGCTACTCCAGGCAAATACCAAACAGGTTCTACGGCGGCCTTAATGACTTTCATTTCCCCAGTTTTATTTAAAATGACGTGCCCATCAACGGACAACCGACCTAATTTTACGGCCTCTTCAATTTCAGGGATTCTCATGTGTGCTTTAGTAATGGCAATGGAAGGACGTAAGTCGATGCCAGAGTCTAAGTAAGGATGAAACCATTTCAAAACTTCATGACCCCATGGATCCATGCTCACGATTTTCGTTGGATCTGACCAAGAAGGATACGGTCCTATTTTTAAAGGAGGTTCGGTATGTTCTAAATCCGGTCGATGGGTCGCGGGTAAAGCACCTATTGCAATCGACAAAGCATGGTAAATACAATACGAACCTCCATGAGCACCGATGCTATTACGTACGCGAATGGTATCTGGGTGTCGCGAAACGACAATGGGGCCTCGATGTTTAGGGTCTTTAAGACCAAAAGAGAAAAAGAAAAAAAAAGAGTGAGAGAGAGAGAATGTAAGTGAGTGTTTTAAGGTACAAAAATTCCAACGAATTTGAGTTTAGAATGAAAATGAAAATTAAACGGAAAGGAAAGGAAAAGACAAGGCTAAGATAAAAAATGGCTTTCGCACTTATATATGCAGATAAAGTAGAAAGGAAATAGAGCATTTCAATTAAAAAATACCTTTTTCTTTTTGTTTTGAATTTATAAAAATAAAAATAAAAATAAAAATCAAATTCTATACCTGGATGACCCCAATTTAAATTAATGGGATGAATGCCTACTTGACCTGGATACGTAGTTAAGATGACACGATATGGGTATTGGGAAGATTGAGATATTTTTCTTAATCTTTGAGGAGGAGAAGTTTCCGTTTTTGTCAATGTATGTTCCTGGGCAGTGGTCGAGGTTTCTTTCGAATGTAAAACCGGTGAAGCCGCTAATCAAACGGTGAGAGAGAAAGAAAGATAAAAATTTTGTAGGAACGAAAAAAAAAAAAAAAAAAATTATTTCAATTAGAACAAGGATATTTGATGCATGGATGCATTTTTTTCTTTTTTTTTCTTTTTTTTTTTCATTCATTTTTATTTTTATTTTTATTTATTTAATTTTATTTTATTTTGAAAATTGAAATTTTTTAATGAAATTGTAAAAGGATCAAATATGAATAAAAATTTCATTGATTTTTTTAAAAACAATTGTTCCATAAAGATCTCATGATAGTGTACTATATAAGAAAATTAAAGAGTCATTTAAAAGAAAGAAAGTACAAATTAGTGTTTCATAATTGATTGATTATCAATAATTACACAGGAAATGTTGTAATTAACAAAATACAATTTCTTCATTTCCTAAATGAAGAAATTGCTAAAAATGAAAGCTTAAGGTACAAAAGATTTAAAGAGTCTTATCCAAAAAACTGGTTGATGAACAAGAACATAATAAAAATAATAAACAAAAAAAATAAAACTAAAATAAAAAAAGAAACCAAAAAAAAAAAGAAACAAAAAAAATAAAATTCCAAAAAAATCTTATAAAAATAGGAAAAATTCAAAGAAACAAGAGAAATCAAGAAAAAAAAGACAAGGAAAAAGAAAAAAATCATAAAATAGCAAAGATGAAATTAGAAAGGGAATATCAAGAATTTTTGGCTTGAGAGAGGAGGAATACTATGAGGAATGGGTGTCGGGTTTTTAATTCAAGAAGAAATGGAGAACAAAGAGTTGCTGACAATGAAAGAAAAATTAACCACAAGAGAAATAATAGAGAAGTGCCAGAATACTATGAATTTTTTTTTATGGAATATAGTAAATATTGGTCAGAAAGCCTTACATTTCTTTGCCAATAGTTTGCCAGG